TATTTTACAGGTGAGGAAGCTGAGGCCCAGAGAGTCCAGGTTAACATAACGCCCAAGGGAGCAACAGCCAAAGAATGTTAGGATTGTGAATGGAACCTAGGACTATCAAATTTCCTCATTCCTGCCACAGTCCTTTGTCTTTTCCTAGGTGGCTTCCAGCAGGGAGGTGCTGCCATGTGTAGGCCACTGTTCATGCCTAACTAGGCAATTCCGTGCATGTTGCTTCAAAGCTTCTGTTTTACAGTCCTTAATGAGCTAGTAATTGTGTTTATGTGCTTGCCAATGAAGTGTGCAGGGCTCCGATAGCTGTCACTGGTTTCTTGAGGGCCTTTATTTGATCTGAGACTCTGTAGAGCTTCCAATAAGTTAAAAAGGTATGTGAGTCAAAGGAGAGAAAATTTGGGTCAAATCTTACTTTTCAAAACGGTTTTCAGCTAACTTCTCTACACGACTAAGCCTCTGCCACCAACTACATTTGCACTGAACATACTCAATTATTTGACTCTGAAGCCACTGGAATTATTTGTTTGACAGAATTAAATGAATGGAAAAGAATTAGGTCATTAACCCACATATTAGAATTCTCCAGAGAAACAGAATGAATAGAATATATACACACACTTTTATATTTCTATATATCTATGTATAATCTATAGATACATATATAGACATATAAATATACATATTTATCTATATAGACATAGATAGATGTTGACAAAGATACAGATGCAGATATACAGGAAGAGATTATAAGGTATTGACTCCTGCAATCATAGAGGCTGAGAAATCCCATGGGCTGCCATCTGCAAACTAGAGGCCCAGGAAAGCTGATGGTATAGTTGAGAGCTAGAGAGCTAATGATATAGAGTCCAGTCCAGATCTGAAGGCCTCAGAACCAGGAGCATGGAGGTCAGAAGATTAACGTCCCAACTCAAGTCATCAGGCAGACTTAATTCAACCTTCCTGTGTCTTCTTGTTCTATTCTGGTCCTCATGGATTAGAGGATGCCTACCCACTTTGAGGAGGGCCATCTGCTTTACTCAGTTGACCAATTCAGCCCAAAAGCCCATCAGTCAACAAGTAGATAAAGAAAATGTGGTATATACATATAATGGAATACTACTCAGCCATAAAAAGAAATAAATAATGGCATTTGCAGCAACCTGCATGGAATTGGAGACCCTGATATTAAGTGAATTAACGTAGGAATGGAAAATCAAACATGTTCTCACTTATAAGTAGGAGCTAAGCTATGAGGATGCAAAGGCATAAGAATGATACAGTGGATTTTGGGGACGTAGGGGGAAGGATCGGATGGGGGGATGAAGGATAAAAGACTACATATTGGGTACAACATACACCATTTGGTGATGTATATTATGATGAGTACACAACATCTCAGAAGTCACCACTAAAGAACTTAACCATGTAACCAAACACCACCTGTTTCCCAAAAACCTATTGAAATAAAAAATAATTTAAAACTGCCATAATTTCAGAACTAAAAACAAATCCTGGCTGGGCACAGTGGCTCAAGCCTGTAATCCCAGCACCTTGGGAGGTCGAGGTAGGAGGATCACAAAGTCAGGAGTTCGAGACCAGCCTGGCCAACATGGTGAAACCCCGTCTCTACTAAAATTACAAAAACTAGCCAGGTGTGGTGGCACATGCATATAATCCCAGCTACTCAGGAGGCTGAAGCAGGAGAGTTGCTTGAACCCAGGAAGCAGAGGTTGCAGTGAGCTAAGACCACACCATTACGCTCCAGCCTGGGCAACAGAGTGAGACTCCATCTCAAAAAAAAAATGTGAATTTCTTCCAGAAACACCCTCAAAGACATACCCAGAAATAATGTTTAAGAAGCTAGTATGGGCATCTTGTGGTCCAGTCAAGTTGACACTAAAATTACCCATCACAACCCATTGTGCAAAAATTTATTCAGCACCTACTATATGCCAAGCACTGTGACAGTCCCTGGAATACGGACATAAATAGGCACAATGAGTGAACACAAGCAGCTCATTGTCTTCTGTTTTTCCCATATTCCCTCATCAAATACTAATTTTGAGCATCAACCTGGTGTTCACTGCTGTGTGAGTCACAGAGGATACCGAGATGAAAAAGATGGACACGGTCCCTGCTCTCCTGGAGTTTACATGTGAGCTGATGAGACAGGTGTTAGATGACTCATTGCACAATTAAGCAATGACAATTGTCATGAGGGCTGCAAAGAAGCAGCAGAAGTTGTTAAAGGCTGTATAAGAAGAAGACCTGGCCTATTTATTTGGGTTGTGAAGGAGGGTGGATCAGGAAAGACTAACCTTCTTAGGAAAGGAGGCTGAAGCTGAAGTATGATGGATCAGTAGCGGCCAGCCAGGCAAAGACAGTGAGAAAGAGATAAGCCACCTTGACATCCAGGAACTGACCTCGTTCTGTCAGCTTTTCCCTGGTGTTGCTATGAGCTGACCTACCGACAGTCCTAGCTTGGTCTTGGTGCTCTTCTGCTGAACATCAACAATTTCATAGAACATCAGCATTTGGGCTGGGCATGGTGGCTCACACCTATAATCCCAGCATTTTGGGAGGCTGAGGAGGGAGGATTTCTTGAGCCCAGGAGTTTAAGACTAGCCTGGACAATATACCAAGATCTCATCTCTACCAAAAAAAAACCACACACAAACACACACACAGAGAAATTGGCCTGTAATAGGGGTACATGCCTATATTCTCAGCTACTTGGGAGGCTGAGGCAAGAGGATCGCCTGAGCCCAGGAGGTTGAGGCTGCAGTGAGGTAACTGTGCTACTGTAGTCTAGCCTGGGCAATAGAGTGAGACCCTGTCTCAAAAAGACATAAATTTTTTAAAACATTAGACAAGTCCACTCCGAGACCATGGTGGAGCAAGATATAAAGACACAAATCTGAACACAGACAAAACACGAACGCTGTCCAAATCACAAAAATGACCAAATATTGCCTGCCCTGTCTAATATGTGTGCAGCTGCTTCTTTACTGATTACAGGCTGAGGCTTGCTCTAGTCTTTTCTCCCTTTAGATAAGATTTATTAGGCTGGGCGCAATGGCTCACACCTGTAATCCCAACCCTTTGGGAGGCTGAGGCGGGTGGATTGCCTGAGCTCTGGAGTTCACAACTAGCCTGGGCAACATGGTGAAACCCCGTCTCTACTTAAAAAACACAAAAAAAATTAGCTGGGTGTGGTGGTACGTGTCTGTAGTCCCAGCTACCCAGGAGGCTGAGGCAAGAGAATTGCTTGAACCCAGGAAGCAGAGGTTGCAGTGAGCCAAGATCGTGCCACTGCACTCCAGCCTTGGCAAAAAAGCAAGACTCTATCTCAAAAAAAAAAAAAAAAAAAAAAAAAGATTTATTAAGATGCCCAATCATAGAATTCCTCCCACTTCCTACCAGTATCCAATCCTGAGGAAAGCCCCACGTTCTTTAAAGCCTCACCTAGATTCCCCAATCAAAGTCCAAATTTTGTGGGCACGGTGGCTCACACCTGTAACCCCAGCATTTTGAGGTGGGTGGATCACCTGAGGTCAGGAGTGTGAGAGCAGCCTGGGCAACATGGTGAGACCCCCATCTCTACTAAAAATACAATTAGCTGGCTGTGGTTGTGCATGCCTATAATCCCAGCTACTCGGGAGGCTAAGGCAGGAGAATCACTTGAACCTAGGAGGCAGAGGTTGCAGTGAGCTGAGATCATGACATGGTACCCCAGCCTGGGCAACAGAGCAAGACTCCATCTCAAAAAAAAAAAAAAAAAGTCCAAATTTTGTAATAAATCCTTTCTCACTCTCTCCTACCAAGATGTCCTGTGGGTCCCATGGCACCTGTTCTCCCTTACTGCAGTGAGTAATGATCCCAACTTGTTCAGTGCTCCTGGTGGTCTTTAGCTGAAGGGCATTGACACTTGTAAATGCTTTTAAGAGATCTAAGATATTCCAATCATCCTCCAAAAGCACTTCCAGATTTAAAGAAGCAAAAAAAAAAAAGTATGTGTAATTAATATTTATCATAGCTAATGTATTCATTTTATGGTAAATTTGAGATGGGATTGTGTTATGTGCTGTATATGTGCTTTGACAGCACATTGAGAACCTTTTCTAATGAATGTGTCTAGTGCAGCTGTATTTATATTTGAAGCATAGTTTATTATCTTAAATCATTATGAGCTATAGGGTTCTCATATCTCTGATTCTGGCACCTTTCCAGTTGTTACTTCTCTTCAGAGGTGCAATCTGTGTTACTAATCGATCTGGGGCATTCAGAGTGACCTTAGGCCTTTGGCACTTGGACCTTACTTGACCGAAGCAGAACTCATTACTCTATCCGAAAAATCTGGCCTTCTGGCAATTTAGAAGAACTTATCAAAATTTTAAATGTGCTTAGCCTTTGACCCAGCAATGCTACGCTAAAAGTTTTAGCCTTATCAATTCACTAGCACAAAAAAGCCAAAGATGTACAAAGTCATTTCTTGCTTTGTTGGTAATAACAGAAAGAAAAAGAGTGAAAAACAACACAAAGTTCTAGCAATAGCCAGCTAAATAAATCTTCACACATCCACACAGCAGAATACTATACAGCCGTTAATACCAATGTTGTGAATGTATATGAATTGGTTTGGAAAGATGCATAGAATATATTGTAGTTAAAACAAGGCACACAACAATATAATCCAAGATTAATACACACACACACATTTTTGTAAAAGCATATATATATATGACGGAGTCTTGCTCATTGCCCAGGCTGGAGTACAATGGCATGATCTGAGCTCACCACAACCTCAACCTCCAGGGTTCAAGCAATTCTCCTGCCTCAGCCTCCCAAGTAGCTGGGATTACAGGTGCCTACCACCATGCCCTGCTAATTTTTGTGCTTTTAGTAGAGATGGGGTTTTGTCACATTGGCCAGGCTGGTCTTAAACTCCTGACCTCATGATATGCCCACCTGGGCCTCCCAAAGTGCTAGGATTATAGGCATGAGCCACTGCACCCAGCCCATAAAAGCATATTTTTATATCTTAGATAAAAGTGAGTTTCTTCTAGGGATCCTAATTCCCAGAATTGGAGAATTGTACTCCATATATCATGTTCAAAAGTAAGTTGTATTGTTTTCTTTATTACAATTTTAAGTAGTCTCCTTTGCTTTATTACTTTCCCAGATTCACCAACCACTAGTGCCCCAACCAGAATCTTATCTTTGCTTTCATCTCCTTTCTCCTCTTGTCCCTAAATCCAGGCACTTCCTGAGCCAAACCTTTCCACTTCTGAAATGTTTCTCAAATCCTCCCCATACTCTTCCCTTTGACAATGTCAGGGTCACCTGGCCAGTCTCCCTGCTCCTCTTCCTTCCTGCCCCCATGTGTGCTATACACGGTCTCAGGGAGCTCTTTCTAACACACATAATACAATCTCTTCATCCTTCTCAGAAACCTTAAGCTCTTTTAAACCAATAGAACAAGTCTCCAACTTTTACCTTGAATTTTGTCTTGGTCCATTTTTGTTGCTATGACAAAATACCCAAGTCTGGGTAATTTATAAAGAATACAAGTTTATGTCCTCATAGTTCTGGAGACTGGGAAGTCCAAGAGCAAGGCGCTGGCAGCTTCAGCGTTTGGTGAGGGCGGCTCTGTGTTTCCAACATGGCACCTTGTTGCTGTACCCTCACATCATGGAACAAGCAAATGCTGTGTTCTCACATGGCAGAAGAGACAGAAGAAACGGTCGGCTCTCTGATGCTTCTTTTTATAAAGGTGTTAATCTCATTCACAAAGATGACTCCCTCATGGCCTAAGCATCTCCCAGAGGCCCTGTCTTTTTTTTTTTTTTTTTTTTTTTTTTTTAAGACAAGGTCTGGCTCTATCACCCAGGCTGGAGTGCAGTGATATGATCTTGGCTCACTGCAACCTCCATCTCCTGGGCTCAAGTGATCCTCCCACCTCAGCCTCCCGAGTACCTGGGACTATAGGCTCATGCCACCACATCTAGCTAATTTTTATATTTTTTGTAGAGATGGGGTTTTGCCATGTTGCCCAGGGTAGTCTCAAACTTGTGAGCTAAAGTGATTGAGCCGGGCGCGGTGGCTCAAGCCTGTAATCCCAGCACTTTGGGAGGCCGAGGCGGGTGGATCACGAGGTCAAGAGATCGAGACCATCCTGGTCAACATGGTGAAACCCCGTCTCTACTAAAAATACAAAACATTAGCTGGGCATGGTGGCACGTGCTTGTAATCCCAGCTACTCAGGAGGTTGAGGCAGGAGAATTGCCTGAGCCCAGGAGGCGGAGGTTGCGGTGAGCCAAGGTCGCGCCATTGCACTCCAGCCTGGGTAACAAGAGCGAAACTCCGTCTCAAAAAAAAAAAAAAAAAAAATAGGAAATGTGATTGGCCTGCCTCGGCTTACCAAGGTGCTGGGATTACAGGCATGAGCCATCACACCCAGACTGAGAGGCCCCCATCTTCTAATACCATCACCTTGGCGGTGAGGTTTCAACATGGGAATTTTGGAGGGACATATACATTCAAACCATAGCAGATTTCAGCCCTCACTTTAGCTCCATTTTCCTATTTTAGGCTGCAGCCAAACATCTAAGGCCCCTGTGCCCCCAACCCCATTCCAGACATAGCCACACTGGTAGACCCTTGATTTGGAATCTGAATCTTCATACCTTTAAATCTATATTCACACTGGTTTTCTCCTTTCCCACATCCCTTCTTTTAATTCCCATCTTTTAAAACACAAGGACCTTGACTTAAGGTTCAACACTATAAATGTTTCTTCTCACTCAACTGAGAGGTAACCTAGCATCATAGGAAAATACACAGATATTGAACCAGATCATCTGGAATAAAAGTTCAACTGCCATTGACGAGCTCTGGAACATTCAGCAAGCTACTTGACTACTTGCACCTTGGTTTCCTCATCTGTAAAATGGGGATACGAGGCCAGATGTGGTTGTTCACACATGGAATTCCAGCACTTTGGGGGGCCAAAGCAGGTAGATCACCTGAGGTCAGGAGTTCAAGACCAGCCTGGTCAACATGTCAAAACCCTATCTCTACTAAAAATGCAAAGATTAGCTGGGCGTGCTAGTACACACCTGTAATCCCAGCTACTCGGGAGGCTGAAGCAAGAGAATCGCTTGAACCCGGGAGGCGGAGGTTGCAGTTAGCTGAGACTAAGCCACTGCACTCCACCCTGGGTGACAAAGTGAGACTCAACCTCGAAAAAAAAATTAGGGAGCTAATAAAATCAGACTCATAGGCCAATATTTACAAAGCATAGACACAGTAAACACTTGAAAATATTAATTATTGTTACTATGGTTACTAGATTTTAAAATAGTATTATCTTTTCTTGCTATTGAGGTGTATAAGGTTTTTCCCCCTAAACGAAATGCTCCCCTCCCAAAGCTACTGGGTCTTTTGGGTTGTGCTGCTTCTTATAGTTTCTTGACCTTAGTCTCTACATGGAATTGTTAAGAGCTTACGCTCTGTAGACAGATTTTCTGCATCCATGACCATCAGTCCTGTCTTGGGCAAGTTAACTCAGTCTCTAAGCCTCACTGTCTCTATCTATAAAATGACCTAACAATAGCTCCTGCCTCATGAGGTTGGTTTTGAAGATTAAATAGGATAACCCCTGTAAAGTGCTTAACATGTTGCTACCATGTGGACCAGATAATTATTTGGTGTGGGGGCTGTTCTATGCATTGTAGAATGTTTAAGCAGCATTCTGGTCTCTACCCACTGGATGCAAATAAGCATCCCTCCTGACCAGTTGTGACAATCAAAAATATCTCCAGACATCTCCTAATGTCCCCTTAGTGGGGGTAGGGGAGGACAAAATAGCTTCCTGTTAAGACCCAACAATTGGGCTACCCTCTTGAAGCCCAGAAAGAGATTGACCCATATTATTCCATCCTCTTGGCTCCTTTTTACTTCTTACATTGTTCTGCAAATTGCTTTTTGTATAAATTTCACCCTTTCTGCTCCCCCATAACTTAAGTCTATCTAGCCTTTAGTTTGACATGATACCAACCCTGGCCCTCATGCATGTCCTTGCCCTTAACACCTCCAGCATCCAAATGGCTAACTTATATTTCTCTTTATGCAGATTGCATAATCTGATTGGCTAAACTAGGATCAAGTGCCAACCTCTAGTCCAATAAGCTGTGACCAGCAGAGAAGCAGCATTTGGAATGAACACAGAATCGTGGGATCCCACCCTTTCAGTAGGTGATGTGGGGTGCTTTCAAGAGAGAAGTGTGGCCACATCAGGTATCCCCAAA